TGTGGAAAGCTCCTACAGACTTAGCACAGAATTGCCTAGCAAGTAGGAACTATTCTTATTACATTTAAATATTATCATCATCTGTATTATCATGTATACAAGTCCTGTCCTTCCACGTACTAGCTTTTGATCTTGAAACAATTACTTCAACTTTGTGCATCGCTGAGAAAGTTAATCCTGCCTCCTCAGTGCATCTCACCACGTTGTTGTAAGGGTCAAATAAAATAATACATGTTGTATGAGAGCAAATAAACTGTGTTATGTGAAAGCACCTTTTAACCATACAGAGCTATGTGATGGTTTATTGTTATAACCCTTAAACCATTTACCTAAGGCCTGAGACCTTAAAGAGGTAAGCATTTCGATGAACTGCCAGCCAGGACTAAGGGAAGACAAGCTGGTGTTAGAAAAAGGGAGGGAGCTAGGTGCTCACATAGGATTCCACAAATCTAATCATATACCATGGACGCGTTTTCGAATTATGGAAATCTCTTCCTTTTGCATTCTAAGAAGTAAGCTTAGAAAATTTTGTTTAGGACCTGAAGGACCAAGATTTTACCCATTACGTGAACATTGGTCCAGTATATTTATCTTAGGGATACTGGAGATGACTTTTGTGTTTGAGAGACACCAGGGAAATCTGGAATAAGCCTTAAGATGTTCGGAACCTTTTATTTATTAGATTAAAATGCTTGAACCTAAAACATAGAAGAATACATTCTTAGCTTGGCCGGTGCCCTAAATGATATGGCAAACCATCTCTGTTCTTAACTACATTACCATCCTTTCTTTGAAAGTCTTTTTGTTTTGTTTTGTTTTGTTTTGTTATGTCCGCGCCCCCCCCCCCCAACCGCCTTCTACTGGGACTTGTAGAAGTCTGGAGGAGGAGGTTTCTGGAATGAGTCTGTCTTGTCTCAAAGTAGCATGAGTCTAGATGTTTTTGAGATTGGTTCTGCAATAGTCTTATAAGTAGAGAAGGTGAAATCCAGTGGTGTATTTGGCAATTCTATACACGTGTTGAGGTCTTGTGAAAAATACAGGGGGCTCCATTGCTAGGAAGGTGGCTGATTGTACACAAACGTTGTATCCCTTGCAATGGACATCCCCCTTTTTGGAGAGCCACGTTAAATCTGAAATTTCCCGGGGAGTAGCACTGCAGAAGAAAGGAGGGAAAGGAAGATTGAAGGGACTTTAGTGCATCAGGCGGAAGCATGAAAGGTGCAAAACAGAGCTCTTAGAGAATGAGAGTAAAGTGGACTCACAAATAGGGCTTGAACACAGGAGGGTGATTTGTTTTTACAAAGAAAGGAAGGGCATTTTATGTAAAGATTAAGCACTGTGACAGACTGATTTGTGTAGAAGAGACATTGATATCTGGCCAGTGGTTCTAATTACAGTCTTCCCTTGGCAAGGCAGCGCTGATCCTTGTAGCTGTGGATACTCTTTGCGAAACTCAGCAGTTTTGGGGACCTGTTTTTGAGGAAATAAATGACAAAGCAGCTTAATTTTCGGCAAAAAATTTTTTTGAAAGGGACTAGGTCAGTTTTTATCCAAAGTAAATAATACAGGAATGAGAAAACACAGAAGTGTGGGAAAGGAGACCCAATTCACATTATTTGTAGAAAATATGATTCTGCATTTCTATACTGTTAGAACTATTAAGAATTCAATTAGCTGTTCATATAGAGAGTAATTATCACAATTCAATGCCTGTGTATGTCTTAGCAATAAAACGTGAAAATATTATATGAAAAAATGTATTCATAGTTGCAACTGAAAATATAAACAACAAAATGCTTATTACTGTTTATGAAACAAAACTTAAACACATGGAACACTGTGTAAATTGCTTAAAAATTTAATTAGATGTCTCATTTAACTCCAATCTAAATTTCATCTGGAAATATAAAGAAGTGAACAATTAAAAATTTAAGAAGGAATAATGAGAGCAGTGGTCGATCCAGATAGTGAAGTGTTATTATAATATTAGAGCGATTTAAAACAGTGTGGTGCCATTTCAGCAGTTGAATGAAAGATCAGGGGATCTTTCAGGACCCTGGATGAGCCCCAGGGACAGTGGTTACAGTTCAATTTTTAGACACCCTGAAAATTCCCAGAAGTGCCTTTGGCGATTAGAGGGAATAAGTACGGGGGCTCTGCGCACTCTCCTCTCCATCTTAACAAGGATAGCTCTGCTTTTGTGCATTTTATATACTGGGTTCCCACATTTATTTGGTTTCACATCCCAAAGAGTTTTCATTGCCCTAATATTAATATAGGGTAGAGAATGGCTCACTAACCATGACTGGCTTGTGAAACGAATTATAGTAGGGAATCTTGACTTATTTATAGGTGGTGGGGCTTAAGTCAGTGTTTCACCTTGCTACAGAATGATGAATTATAGATGAATTAAAAAGTAAAACCATAAAAAATACTTGAAAAATATTTCTACAAATATTTTATTTTTATTATGTTTTATTTTATTTTATTATTAATTTTATTATAATCAAATAATTATTTGCCTGATCTCTGGATAAAAGGAATCTCTAAACCTAGGACAGAATTCAGAATGGAAAAAACTGATGGAGTTGTTCATGTGAAAATAGAAAACTTTACCTAAAATACCACCAAAAGAGCAACAAAAAGGATAGATATCTACTGTTTATTTACAAAATAATAAATATTATTTTACTATATGAAGAGCTTTTTATACATTAATAAGGAAAACAGAAATATCCTGTGATAGCCCATATGATATTCATTTGGAAAAAAAAAAAAACAAAGTTTGTCCTCATTAGTATTTACAGAAGTATGATTAGAATAACAAGTGAGCCATTACTTTCTGACCTAATAAGGTGGCAAATACTACTAAAAGATAAGCTGAATCTTGACAAAATTGTGGTAAGAGCGGCAGATTTAGTTCTGCTTGGTGGATATAAATTGTTAAAATGGTTTTGGAAGCAGTTGGCAAGAGACGTGTCAGAGTTCATATCCTTTGAAACACTCTAAGAAAGTTATATTCAATATATTCTTTGTTGAATTTTAAAAACAGTATAATGTCTATCTTCAGTGAAGTGTTAATTATGATGCCCATTTTGAAGAATTCATATCGCATAGAGAAAATTAAGATAGCTAACAATATATACATATACTTTATATAATTATATTACACTGATATGTATGGATAGGAAAAACTAGAGGGAAAACACAAACATTAGCAGTGATTAATATTCTTGTTTTTAGGTTTATGGGTACATTTTGTTTTCTATGACATAGATATGAGTTTGTGTTTTTCCAAATTTTACTCTCCAAAAATAAAGTCATTTTAAATGGTTATTATCCATGGAAAACTTTAGAATTTCATTTTCCATTTTGTCGCAATTAACATCATAATTGCCCAAGCCTGTTTCAACGTGTTTTGATTTTCTGAAATATTTATTGGCCCTATAAAATCTTACTGTGATAAAGAGTCTTAAAAATTGTGAGTTATCTTACTCTCTTCCGTGCTCTAATGCATCCTTGACCCCAGTTTCTAAAGAGGTAGGTACAAGATGGGAAACAAATCAGAGGAACGTGTTAAAATCAAAACAGGTATTATGTAACCATGAAAACATATCCGAATATTATTTGTATTTGAAAACGTCAAGAAAGACCATTCGGAAAGTTTAATTTTGCGGGGCGTGTGGAACCGTAACACCTCCTAGCCAAGAGAGTGTTGGGGCAAAGGGCAGTTCCTCAGTCCGGGGTTTGGGCCTGGTAGCATAGTGTGCTGTCTCACTCTGACTGTGGTTCGTGCCCGCTGTGGTGCTTGAGTATGGCTGCCCATGTGTCTGATTCATGTCTATGCCATGTGTCGCATTATTTTGATGGTAATCAATGTTTTGTTCTGTGAAGGTAATCTCTCTCTCTTTTGTTCTGTTCATGTTCACACAGCTAGTTCAGTGAAGCTTGTTCACAACCAGGAACCTCTCCTTCTCTGTCTCCTTTCTCTGTCTTGCAGGAACTGAGGGTGGCTTCTGGTGTTTTGTATGGCTTCATTTCCTTCCTGCCTCTCATCCACTTCATGATGTAATTCTTGGCACTTTTACTTCCTTTGTAGAGTAGGATGTGATGTCATAGAGAAGGGGACAGGGCTATCCAAATTCTCTCAATTGCTGGGAGGAGCTGCCCAGGTGTGCTGAGGGGCCTGTACTCAGGAAGAGAAACAGGGAATCCTCCACAGTGAGTAACCCCACTTTTGAGTGCACCCAAATTTCCGTTAAAACGTTGCCCAGTACGCTGGAGTTTCCTCTTTGGCCCTTTCTAGATTTAATCAGTTTGCCTTTTGGACATTCCCAGTTCAGCTCAATTTTCCTCCTTTCTCTCCCTTGTCCCCTCTCCCCCTCATTCTGCCATCCTGTGCCTCTCCCTGCCAGATTCCCTCTTCCTTGCTTGCTTACTTGTGTCTGTCTGTGTCTTTTGACTTTCTGCCCATATCTCTTATGAGAGACCATGAGTGTCCCCAGCATTGCCTGTCATTTGGGGTGATGCCCACCCTTTATATGGTCCATGCGCCCACAGCATCTCCTTTCAGTAATTCATAAGTACGCACCGTTCTACTTACAGTTCTTGCCTTTTTGTTTTCATGTCTATATCTTTCCCGCCTTTCTCTGTGATCTAATCTTCCCCCTTTTCAGCTCTAAGATGCAGTTTCCTTCTTGCCTTTTTTTTTTTTAAACCAATATTTTTACACATTAGTCCTCTTCCCTATACAGCTATGCCTATGTTTCTTTTTCCCCCTTCCCGGTTTTCAGGTGAGCTCTCCAGTGGCCTCCTCTGTGAGGACCGTTTTCCTTCTTTCCTGTGGGCATACTTGTTGCCATACCCTCTTTCTAGCGTAGCTCATATTGCTGGATTCTTAAAAGGACTTACCAACTATGGCTAAGGGACTGATCTGGACTTGGAAGAATGGGAACATTTCCTGGGAACTCGAGAGAGGGGAGAACAGGAAATGGGCCCCGATGGTGAAGGCTGGAATGGGGCAGGCTGTCTGTAAGGTACTGGAGAACCTTGACAAATAGAACCTTTGCCAGCACTGGCTGCGATTTGGCCATGAGCGTTAGGTGAGATCGCAGAGCTATTTTGAACAGATTCAGAAGCCTTTTCAATTTCTGGTTTTTTAAAGAGACCCTGTTAATAATTATGATTGTTCTAGTAAATAATCATAAGTTAGAACTCTAGAATGTGCAGAAGCTCTGTACAGCATCTTCAAGTAGGTGTTGTCTACACTTGGAGGAAGTCATTGTAAGGATGCATGTAGACTTGGTTCTCATACCTGGAGGTGGCCCCAGTCTATAGTCTGTGATGGTGAGCAGAGTGGACACTGTTGTTGATTACCTTCCCTATATCCAGTGATATTCCTGGATAAATAAAGGAACTTGATTTCCAGGTCTGATGGTCTCATGCCTGTGGAAATAATGAGCCATGTCCCATGCATTCCCCACGCTTTGTTTAAAACAACTCCCTTGCACTCAAAAATAAGCAGGCCAGAAGGGGAGAGAAAGAAAAATGGGACTCAGTTCATAAAACTGAGATGGGCTGAATGGGAAGAGGAAGGGGTTTACTTGAAATTAATTGAAAAAGGCAGAAGAAAGGAAACTGAGCTGAACTGGAACACACACTGTAATAACTTACTTGGGTTTTTGTATGCTTTTTCCCCATTTTTGCCATGAAGGATTTTTTTTCCCTCTCTCTCTCTTTTTTTTTTTTTTTTTTTAAATACAAAAGAGGTTGATCAAAATGTGAATCCATTGAGGGTATTTCTAACCAGCGCTTTGTTCCCTGCTGTTGGTAGTGTCCAGGCTCAATGTTTCCAAGGTCCTGGAGATTTAGGAAACATTTTAATAGCCTGAAAATCTGTCTTTAACCATAAAATATTTGCAATTTTTAATAAAGGAAATTACAAAAACTTATTAACTTTGTTTTCAGGTTTCACATTTTTTCTTTTCTTTTTTCTTTTGTTTTTGTTTTTGTTTTTGTTTTGTTTTGTTTTGGTGTGTATGCCTTTGTGACCTTTTTTTGAAAAATGACCCCATGTTGCAGAAATTGCCATAAATGTCCAGAAAAGAATTGCATTCTCACTTTGGACACCCAAACTGTGTGATGAGACCTTGTTTTGACATAACAGCCCCTTCCCCTTAAAAATTTTAAGGAAGCCTTGCATGATTCACACACATTTTTATTTTGTATGCTTCCATACAATAATCTAGGAATTTTATGTTTATTTTTATTTTTTAGGCACTAGAAAAACACCCCAATTCACCAATGACAGCGAAGCAGATATTGGAAGTCATTCAGAAAGAAGGGTTAAAAGAAACAAGGTCAGTATTCATATTTACATTTTCTGTTTTCATTGCCACTAATTGCAAAGCAGTAGATGTATCTAGATTTTGATATTGTAGTTGATTGTGGCATCAGTAATTACCTACAGATTCTTTTGTGATTGCCAAATATTTGGGTGACCCAAGATTTCCTTGTAACTGCCTGTTGGCTTAATAAAATACATTAGACAGGTTAATATAGAATGTACTTTGTTAACAAAGAGCCTTGCTGCATGAATTAGCCCTTCATTGGAGTTACTCCTCTTTCTCTGTGTCTTGTAAGAGGAGCTTTTGTTTCTGAAAGTAAAGAGGAACACTTTTACAGGCTTAATAGATAGATCCCCAGTTATAAAGGTTACGTCACTCTGATAAAACTCCAAGTGCTAATAAACGTGGTTGAAAATTTAGTCGTCTTATATTTAGAAATCCTCTGCTTGGAGTGTCATTACTCAGCTATTGAGCCTTTAAAAAATAACAATTTTATTGAGATATAATTCATATACCATAAAAGTCAAGCCTTTAAAAGGTATAATTCAGTGGTTTTTAGTATATTCACAGAGTTGTGCAATCAACACCACTATCTAATTTCAGAACATTTTCATCACCTTGAACGAAAGTCCATCCCCCTTAAGCAGTCATTCCCCTTTCCCTACTCCTTCTAGCCCCTGGTAACCATGATTCGACTTTTTGTGTCTGTGGATTTGACTGTTCTGGACATTTCATATAAGTGGAATTATATAATATGTAGCCTTTTGTGTCTAGCTTCTTTCACTTAGCAAAATGTTTTCAAGGTCTATCTGTGTTGTAGCATGAATCAGTATTTTATTCCTTTTTTGTCGCCAAATAATATTCCATAGTATGGAGATGTACTCCATTTTGTTTATCTATGATGAGCCTTTATTTAGTAATTAATGTTACAGTTTTGGCTTTAGCCACCAGTTGAGGGCCATATTGATATTATGCAAGGAGAAAAAAGAAGTTTGTTATGAAATAAAATACATAGAGCTGTCATATGAGTGTGTAATCGTCCATGTTACATAGAGCGAATTACTTTTGTATGAAATTATCTACCTATAAGCCATTGAGCGTACAGTAGTTGCAGCTTGGTGAAAATCAGAGCTGCAGAGCTATCTTTTGGGTGTTTTTACTGATACTGAGATAGAACTGCTGAGAGAAAGGAAAATCCTCCTGAGGCCAACTTGTCCTAAAAAAATCAGTATCATCTGTAACCCCTCTTACTGTAAAGGGTAGATAACATCAGCTTCTAGCTGTTTAAAATACATCCTTTGCAAGTCTCATCCACAAACATCACGATTTAGAGGGGTGTAAGACATCTGGCTCAAATTTTCATCTCTGTGTTGGAGGCTTTTTCTGCCTGTTCTGAAGACACAGCCTAAGATAATGTAGCTACACCGTTTGGAAGAGTCGTGTCCCCAGCAAACTGGAGGCCACAATGGGGAGAGAAGCCACTGACAGAGCCTAACAGCTCTGGTAAGGGTGATCATGTTCTCTGAAGCTAGATATCAGTGTGAAGAGTTAGAGAGCAAAATGGGGACCCCTGAAATTAATTTTCTCCTTGCTGCCTGTCGAAAACCCTGAAAATATTTATGCCATTTAGAAAGCACTGGAAATGTTTGTGCAGCAGCCAAAAGAAAAGAGGAGGTAAAAAAAAAAAATATCTAAGGATATCAACTCCTGTTGAATGTGGGCTCTGTGCCAGTGGAATCTGCCAACATAGACATAAAAAGCATCTCCTGGAAGCAGACATTTGAAATTTGTTCATTACGATATTCTTCTCAACAAGAGTGACTGTGCTGCCATCACTTATGTACCCTGAGATATAAAATTCCTGTACCATGCCTCTGAACAGCATTTTAATTACACTTATTATTATAACAACATTATTTCCTATTTTTCAAAATGCTGGTCTTCCCAGAACGGTATATTAAAGGGCTTTACGCATATGTCGTTAACAAAACAAAACATGAAACAGCTTCTTTAAAGAATACTGAAGTGGAAAGACGTAACCTGCTATTTCTCTGAATATAACCCTCCCTCTCTACCCTCTCCACCCAATTTTTGTGTCCTTCCATAAGGAAAAAAACATGTTTGTTGTTACAAATACTGATGAACCAGTATGGTAATATTGGATGTACCTGTGAGGAATTCACAAGTGGGATAAGAAAGGGAGCAGGCAAAGAAAGAGACCCTGGTTCTCCCTAAGTTGTATTCAGTAAAATCAGCTCTGCATTGAAGGGCCTCAGACTACACATTTTCATTTGTATTTCTTTCTGCTTTCTTTGAGTCCTCTCTCTCTTGCCAGTTGTGATCTGTTCTTTATGGCCAGTGTGTCTGTGACCACTCTTCCCTTGCTTCCTGGTTTGCTTATGAGAATCATCTCTAAAACAGGAGTACGTGCTTTGAGTGAATTTTGGGCTTTGCTACCTGTCATGTATGTTGTTATATCTTGCCCACTTAATGTACTCTTTTGCTACCTTCCAAGTTCCTAAATGTTTTCCAAATATTTATGGTAGCAGAGTAAATGAAGTGTAACTGTATCTATTTTTCTTAAGTTACATTTAGAAATTCCACCATCATAAAGTCACACATGGCTGTTTAATTTCTAGGTATTTATTAATGATGTGTTTTCTAAGAAATTCGGGATTTATGATATGCCTGATTGAATGGAGGGAGAGGGGAGTGCTTGTGAAAGTTACTAAGGTGGCTGTCACCTGCTGGTGGTCTTGGTGGATGAGAGGTTATGGTAGTGGTCATCCCCCAAACAGTCCACCACTGTACCTAGCATTTCTAGGAAAGAGAAGATTGGGTCTTAATCCATCATCATTCTGAACCTGGATTTGAAGTTATACCATTTGTTTCAAGTTTCATTGGTGGGGGGGGGGTCCTTCATTCTGTGTGGTGCTGACCTCACTGTCCTGTAATTTTGTCCTTGTTTGTCTACCTGCACCTGCCTGTGGGCTCTTTAAGAGCAGGGTATCTGAGACTCCTGGCACTCAGCAGATAGTCAATCAATATTTGTTGAGTAAATAATCTTCTTTCTCAAGATGTTAATTTTCTGGTGCTTAGTATTGACTTCTATTTGGTGTTAGAATTTTCTTTTTAACATTATATGTTTTATTTTTCCATCCTATTTAATACTTTGTATGTTTTAAGCAAAAAGAACCTAACAGTTTTGTGGAATCCCATTAAATATATGCATGCTGATAATCTCTGGCAGATAACATGTGAGAAAGTGAGGCTATTGTGCTGTTGCCTGTTTTCAGACACTCTAAGTGCCTCTGGTTTAAACTTGTAATTTGTAATAGAAAACACACCAATAATTTTGGCAAAGCTGATACGAGTATTTGAAAGAGTTCAGTATATGTGATATTGTTAATTTATTTGACTGCGATGAAATTCTTGACATTTTATGCTTTTTCTCTTTTCAAGTGACACTTTAAATTGCATACTTTTTATGTAGACATGATAAAAAGAAGACAGCTTTTCTATATCATGTTCTTTGTATCTTTTTCATGTTATAGATGAAAATGTGTAGTGTGTGATTAATATCTATCTGGAAAAGATAGACTGAAAAAAGTACTTTCCATGTGGTTTTAAAAAAGGTCAGAAGGACATGTGATTTTTGTTGAAAAAATAGTATCATGGCATGATTTGCTAGAATTTTTAATGAAAACCTATTGGGTAGGTTTTTATTCCCTTCTGTATAATAACGTAGATTTTTATCAATATAATCTATGTATTTGCTTTACTGATTCTGAGTTTTCGCAGGATTCTGTTACTTAGCGTTGATGAGTTGTGAGCAGTCGATAAGACATAGCTGTTTGGGATGCTTTTCATATGATCAGAATCTTATCGTCCATCAAATAGCCATGCTGCTCGTACAGAGGGGATAAAAATATGTGTATTCCAGTCTGCTGCTTTTGTGGATGGATATTTGATATGCCTGTTTGGACTGCTTGACTAAACATTCCCCCTTCCTCAAGGAGTTAGGGTGCCACTGCAGAATATGGTCTTGTCCGCAGTAATTTCAGTACATGTACTACCAAAGTGAGCACTTGTCTCCAGTAATTAGAAAGATGTTCCTAGACAAAGAGAAGTAACTCCAGTTACCATGTTGGTTTGGATAACATTTGGGGTTGTCCTAATTCTGCTTTTCTGTTTTTGGTTTGCTTATTCAGAAGTTCTAATTCCTTTACAAAGGGGACTGAGGGATTTTTGATGCCTGAGGATACGTTTTTCTCTGCTCATGTAATTTTTAAAGAGATGCTTCCAAAGAAGTATGTGCTCTCACGTAGGGACACCTCCCTTGCAGCACTTCCCGAGTGAGAGCAGAACAGTCATTCCTCAGCGAGGGTAATGTCTTATGTGCTGGGCGTTATCATTACAAGATACCCGTCATTAAGGTAGCATGAACCTTGATTTAGTTTTCACATTATTTGCTAATAGGCAAATAGTTCTATAGTGGAAATAAGGCAGTGGCAAACACCCCCCCCCCCAAACACTCCACATACACAAAGCAATTAAAAAAACCTCCGTTGGCTTGGGGGCAGGGCAATATTTATGAGGTACATTTTTACAAGATTATAGATGTCTTACTTTACAAAAAATCTGTTAGATTTCATCAACTGTTTGCAGAGCAACAGCCTATAATTACATATCACAGTAGGGACATTTGAAAAGCTTTATAAACAGTCTCTGTCATGCTTAGTGTTACTCAGAATATGGATGTATTTTTGATTTTGCAATGTGGTACATGCAATTGACAGCCCAAGATTTTGTAATTATTCTGGTATCAATGAGAACTTTTTTTTTACCCCCACTGATAATTCTTAGAATAAATTTGTTTTTAGCTGCTTGCCTTAAGGTTCTGCATGTTTTCTGTTTTGCAGTCCATGTTATGATATGCTGAAATTAGGATCTCTGCTTCTTACTGTGGTTTATTAAAGATGTTGCATTTTTCTAGGGGGATAAATGTCAGA